AGCAGAGCAGAAGCACGAGCACTGAGACATTGGCCATAACAGAACCCATTTTGTATATGAGCAAACGTGGAATACTGAAGGACATATATATATCCACTTGGGCGGAGAGTTAATTTTTATTATAAATTTATTTTCTACCTTTTATAATTTAATACTAAGTTATATAGTTCAGTAAAAGTTGTATTGTATTGTATTGTATACTAAGCTAGAGCTACCACTTTAAATTGGATTCGGAAAGCTGGGTTTCAAAAAAATAAGGAGTCAGTTTCACATACCAAATATATAACAATAAGGTCAACAAGATTTCCTAACCATAGTCTAATTAGGCAATGATTAATGGATTTAAAGACAGAAAATGGACAAGTGGGAAGAGATGGTAACATGCAGATGCAGCAAAAAAGCAAGTTTGTGTGAGTTTCACGGAAACCGAATGTTGTGTTGTGTATGATGTTCCAATGCAGTCTCTGTAAAAGGGGCCCTTCATACACATGCATTGGCTCTTTGGTTTTCAAGATCCCAGATTCTCTACATTTCCAAATATACAAATTTTAGTATTGTAGACATTATACTCCAAAATATTTAGTATTTAAATGTATGCGGAGAAAACATATTAGTCTGTCGTTACACATTACAAAATAATATTTAAATCTTAGGTATTATATTCTTCGATATTTAATATCTATACTCATCAAATAATATATACGATTCAAACGGGGGAGCTTATGGCACTCTTCTTTTGCACTCCATTACTTGTGGTTTAATTTTGGCAGTGTTTTTCATCATTTTGATCTTTGAATTATATCTTCAATTTCTTTTATTCACTTCTTAAATCAATGGTCACTAAAGGCTACTATATGATAAAAAATATCACTCTTGTCTTGGCCTACTTGAATTTAAATTGTTCTCCGATTGCATATGAGGAATAATGTGGTTCATGTCTTGAAAATCACTTTGTTTACTGTGCTCCTAAAGCTTCTAAAGGATGATTAATATTTTGTCTGGCTCTTGGTTTTTTGTACTATTTAACATTATCTAGTTACTTTCCATGTGACTTGAACCCAAGACTTCAATGATATTATTTGAGATTCCAAATCATCGAAGCTATCTCTCGAGATCACTCATTTTATACATTTCTTGGACTCATAATGGATGCAACATTTAGCTCACACACAATAGAGCCACAAAAAGGAGGCTTGTAGTTGGAGTCTCTAGGGAGCCAAGGGTCTGAACTCACTGAAAGACTGATATTCTTTCCGAATACTCCATCCTGTAACTCTTTTCAACGAGGCCACGATCCCAAAGAATGCTGCACCGAGCATAATAAGGACCGTTAGCCAACTTTGCCTTCAGAAAATTGCTTGCTTTAAAATATTTGTCCCTGAGAATCCTAGCCTACGAATTTTTTAGAATCCTCCAATTTTTTTGGCCAACATAGTCTGATTAAACATTTTGAGGTCTTTGAAACTCATGCCTCCTAATATTTCCTCGAGCAAAGCCTTTGCCAACTGCGTTTGTGAATCTTCCTCGTCTCAGCATTTGAACCCACCAAAACTTTACGTAAATTCTGTTGATTTCATTACAAAGCCTTTGAGAAAGTTTGAAGCAACTCATTGTGTAGACGAGGATGGCTTGGACAACCACCTTGATAATAACTTCCTTTCCTCCGGTTGAAAAAAGCTTTTCCTTCCCCCTTCAAAGTTTTCCAAACTCTATCTTTAACTGAGCCAAATACAGTGAGCTACAAATACCTTAGCACATATCCTGGCTCGAAATCCATAGGAGGAGGGTCGCATGGTTTGAGGGTTGTCCAGAGTGGCTTAGCTGTATAAGAGGGAGGGAGTTTGATTTAATTGTGTGATGTTTTGTACAGTTTTCCATTAAAAAAAAGTACTATACTTTTATTCGTTTTTTTTAAGTTTGATTAATACGAGGGATTTGAATATTTAATCTCTATACAAGTAAGTAATGATTTGAAACTACGTTCATGTTGACATATATATTTTTATTTTCTTTTGTATCGTGATCTTGATAGAGTTTTTTCTTAGAGAATAACAGAAAAATTAAAAAGGGAATGCAACTAGTTCAATCTAGCTAGAAACACCAATCCCCGTGCAAAAAACCATATTGAAGACTATAGACGAAGGAGATGGTCTTCATTCGGCGTGACATAAAATGGGTTTTGCTAACAATCATTCCCACCAATGATCGATCCTCTTTCATTGACTGAATAATTTCTTTAACAGTCATTTCCTTAGAGAAGATCACATCCTTTGAGCTATCTTCGCATGGGTGCATATGCCTTATATATATGTATATATAGATGTAATAAAGTCATGTGTTAAAGTTAAATCATGTTGGTTGGAGTTAATTATGTACTTTATTAAATTAAATTGGTTTGTAGATCCCAAAATTTAAATAGTTTTCTGCCATATTACGCAAGCCAAAGTCAATGCCTTGGCAATTGAGTTATCGAGATCAATGGTTTCAAATTGCCTCATCAAAAATTAATTAAAGATTATTGCCTTGCCATTCCAAGCTACTCAACGTAGGTGTCACTTAATGCACAAGATCTTTTAAGCAATCCAGATTTCCTAATAATATCCAACTCCGTACACACACAAACAGTGACCAAGCCCATTTCCAGCCCAAAAACAAAACTCAAGCCCAAAAAAGATCCATTTGACGAACTCAAGCGCAAAATTAAAATAACTATAATTTAATAAATGTAAAAATAAATAAATAAATACATTAAAGCTCAGGCGATGATTCGGTTTTACAAAGTGACAAGACCTTTAAGATTTATTTCAATTTCCAATGTCAATTTTAAAGATATTTAAAAAAAAAACACAGCAAAAGAGTGGCAAATGGAGGGTTATGATTGGTTGGCACTTTCTGCCACCTGATTTGAAGGACGCGCGGCGGGGGGCCGTACCAATCAGCAGTGCCACGCTGGATGTCCGGGAAAAGCAAAAGTTTGGCCTTTTGATCTTTATAATTCTCTGCGATTGCGACACGTGGAGCTTTTCGTTCGCTTTTTAGTGAAGAATGGGGCCCGCAGCTCCATTCCGCTGCGCCGCACTGGAACGCCGTTCAAATAGATTTAAAGAAACATAGGCTCCACGGGATGCTCGGAGAACCAACCTCTACTTCTGCGTGCGAACCACACTCGATTTTTTTTTTATTTTAAATTAATATCTGTAATTCCTCAACGAAGAAGGAAAGTGAACAAATGAGATTCCAAATTCACCGATTCCTTATTCAATTATAAAACCGTTTGCTAAGTGCAAAAGTTCCCGGTGATTTTCTTTTCCAGTGTTCGTGGTGTGGTACAAATATGGCCCCAATGCTGCTTCTGCTGGGAGAATAACCCGTTGAAATCTTCCAGATTCTATTGCCAAGAACGAGCGGTGTAATCTCGTGGGTATGCTTCTTTTCTTGTGCTTTTTCTTCTGTTTGCGTCGTTTTGTCTTGCTTACGATTGAATTTGCTGTAGTCGTTGAGTATGCGTTTGATTTTTCTTTGTTTCAAACCCTATAAGGATTATGATGCATTTGAACAGCGGTTGTTGTTGTTTATCTGAACGGACGACTTATGTGATCATACGTTTGTCTGTAGTATGAATGCGATTGAGGATTAGACCTTTTTTTCCTCCCCTGGTGGGCTTGGGAGGAAGGGGTATTATTATTCCATTTGTCTTTTCAATTTGTTTATTGAAGTTCTGCTGTGGGATTTTCCATACCTAGGAGCGCGAGGTGGTTTTGACTTTTGAAGCCCAAAATTGAAGTTTCAAAAGAGGAGGAAAAGATTGTTGGTTTTCAGACACGGTGGAGGAGGGTTCGGCCGCGACCGCGACCGCGACTTAGGGGGCTCCGAGACTGAGATTTCGTCTTGGTGTTTGATGGGATATATTGGGTTCCAAGGGATTTTGGTATTGATGGATATGAGATTATTGGTTGAAACGATCTTGTTCTTGATCGATCTTCATGGGTTTGATTAGCCCTCTCTCAAGTGTCGCTTATTTTTCTTCTTAATCGTTGGTGGAATTTCTCAAATTGGGTTTCTGGAGCTATTGAATTCTAGCCTTATTCTCAGCTGGTGAAGCAGAAGAATAAAAGCAAGAAGGGATTTGGATACGTGATCAATTAGGTTTCTCTGTTTTCAGTCTTTAGAAAAAAAAAATGGAAGATGCTAATTCTTGGTTAAGGAGGACCAAATTTTCTCACACAGTATACTACCGTTTAGACTCCTTAAGATTGGCCTCCATTCCTCTCACCATTCAGCCACCAATCAATTCAGTCGGGCAAACAAAAGTTGTCACAGCTCCTTCTCATCATAGATCTACCCTTCGTTATAACGAGAGCAACAATTTTCTTAACAAGCAGAGGTCTCTGTCTCCGTCTCCACAGACTACACTCTCCGGCGCACTTAAGGATGCACGAACCGATCAGAAGCGATTTGCAACTCCACAGCCTCAGAGGAGAGAATCCATAAAAGAGAAGGGTAAAAGGGTATTCTGTAAAGAAGCTAAGGTGCACAGTTCCTTAAAGGAAGAGAAGTTAAAGAGCCCGCTGAAGCAGCTTGCTTCATTGAAAGGCAGTCCGAAATCCAAATTCATGAAGGAGTCTTCTTGGACCAAGTGTTTTGAGCACAGTGGAGGGAGGGTCACTGCTGTTGAAGCTGTAGATGAATTGTCTGTTGACTTGTCCAAGCTCTTTCTTGGGAATAGATTTGCTTATGGAGCTCATAGTCGGCTTTACCATGGAATTTACTATGATAAAGTTGTTGCTGTCAAGATAATAAATCTACCGGACGACGACGAAAATGGAGATCTTACAGCTCGCTTAACGAAGCAGTTCGGCAGGGAAGTAACCCTTTTATCTCGTCTCCACCATCCCAACGTTATTAAGGTAAACAACTAGCTCCTTTATTTACGACAAATTTACTCTTCTGAGGTTATTTTGCTGAACTTTGATGGTATAAGATTCTAGGGTGGTAATGTTATCTTGAATGTTTGATATGAATTCCTGGTTGCTTTTTGAAAAGAAAAAGAACCTTTCAAATGAGTTAATGTACTGTATTGGCATTGTTTTACAGTTGGTAGCAGCTTGCAGAAAGCCACCCGTTTATTGCATCATCACTGAGTATCTCTCACAGGGTTCCTTAAGGGCATATCTACACAAACTTGAAAACAAATCTCTGCCTCTGAAAAAACTGCTTGCAATCGCCTTGGACATTGCTCGTGGGATGGAATACATACACTCACAAGGCGTTATTCATCGCGACCTTAAACCGGAGAACGTTCTTATCGATCAAGACTTTTGCCTAAAGATTGCGGATTTCGGTATTGCTTGTGAGGAGGCACATTGTGATACACTGGCCAATGACCCCGGAACTTATCGTTGGATGGCCCCAGAGATGATCAAACGTAAACCTTATGGACGAAAGGTTGATCTCTACAGCTTTGGGCTTATCTTGTGGGAACTTGTGGCTGGAACAGTCCCTTATGAGGACATGACTCCCATCCAAGCCGCTTATGCAGTTGTAAATAAGGTAACTTGTTGTTTCATACCATCTTTCCTAACCAACTTATACATTCACATCTAAAATACTGTTGCTGTTTTGTCAGAACATTAGACCAGCTATCCCGAGGGAGTGTCCACCGGTGCTGCGGGCGTTGATCGAGCAATGCTGGTCGGAGCAATCGGAAAAGAGGCCGGAGTTTTGGCAGGTGGTGAAGGTACTAGAGCAACTTGAGAGTTCAGTTGGGGGAGGAGATGGTACATTGATGAGTGTTGAGCAGCAGCCAAGTTGGGAAGATCACAAGAAAGGGCTAAAGCATTGGATGCAAAAGCTAGGGCCTCAGCATTCTCAGACTTCTTCTCACATCTCCAAATCATCTAAATTCATATGATTCTTTCTCTGCCTTTTTTTTTTTTCTGTTGATAAGGTCACATTCACATTCGCTAACCAGGTTCAATGTAGATAAAAGAAACACTTCATTTGTTTTTGTTTCTAACAATTCACGTGACTGCAATGAGTGTAGTACGTTTCTGAAGGGGAAAAAAATATCAAACGCTTCAAAATTTTTCCTTGTGCAATCTGTAGACTAACCCCAAATGTTCTTTTAGATAAAAAAAATTACCCATGAAGTTAATAAAGATTCAGTCAATTATTGAAGTTAATTCTCTCATTGCTTGAGGACATCTTCACTTGTCAATAAACTATTTTGTGTAAGCTGCCGTTAGATGTGATGGATGGTTAAGATATTGAAAAAAAGGGGGAAAAAAACGTTATCTTGAACTCATCTGATGCAACAAAACACCAAGTAGCCAAATAGAACATATCATCTACTATTCCAAAATATATAGCCGGCGTTATTTGACCCCAAATTTGAATTCAAACACTCAATGCCAAATATCTTAAATCACGTTCTGAATCCAACCCCCTCAATCAAAAACGGCCACGGAATCAAGCAACAATCGCCATAAATGAATTGAAGCAACACAAGGAAAGAAAGGCCAAATGGTAATGTTTAATATCGTTTTGGTTAAAAATGAGAATAATTAACAAAATACAGAAGCAAAGTAAGCATAATTTAACAGTAATTGACATGTATTTCAAACCAAGAAATTATGAGTTTGATTTTCCACCTTCCCACGTGTTGTACTAAAAAAAAGACGGATATGTTATCCAACAACCCATAAATAAACTTAGGTCAATAAATAAAATCTATCTAAGTTCATCATGATTGAGCTCGAAGCCAAATTGTCCAATCATTATTATTACGAAATTAATTGAGAAAATTTCTAGTACAAATGAGAATATAATACTCATTTTATTCACTGTTTGTTACGTCAACATCATATTAAAAATGATGTGGGATCTGCTAATATTAAAAAATATTTATAAAGATAAAATTATAGTACGAAATATGAAAAAGGGAGGAATATCCATAATATTTCTAGACATCAACCCGTTATTTATTATTATATTGCTCTAAGATAATTTTCAAATTTTATTTCAATCAACAAATAACTTTTTTTTTTTAAACTAATCAACAAATAACTTACTACCTAAGGCTCAGTTTACTTGAAATTGGAATCTTGGATTGAGAATCAAAATCTTTCACTCGGGAAGAATGCAATCAATTGGTGGACCAACTTCAAACTTTGTAATCACTCTCCCTACCTAAAAGTGAGTTCTCCCGCAACATTTAAAGCAAGATACCTTAATTAGTACAACAAGTGGAGGACGGGGAATCAAAGTTATGACCTATTGGTCAGAGACCAATATCATTTACTACTAAGCTCAATGTTGGTGCCAAATTACTTTTTAATATTTAGCAAATACAAAATAAAAATGATAAAACATAATGACGATTTTATTGCTTAATTCGAGGTCTATTACAATAATGTTAAAAGATCAATTATTAACAATAATCTATCCTCTAATTAATTACAAATTTTAGCATTCTATCATTTGATAATTTTTCTGCCAGACAATGATCAATCGCATCTTATAAGTTTTGTTATTTATTTGTATATTTATTGATAAAGTTATAAGTTTTATTATTATTGTTGGTGCATGCTATTTTTAAATTACAAATGGAAATTATATAATTGTTAATCAAGATGATATATTGTAGTGCATAAATATTAAACTAGCATAGTAAAGACATCTAACTTCTCTTTCTCCAGTAAAAAAACTTAAAAAGTATAAAAAATTAACCGCTGAGATATATTTCACGTTACTTTTCCAAACCAAACAAACAAAAAGGACGAATAGATGGGGAAAAGCCAAAGCTGAACTCAGTAGAATTTCAGAGAAGCAGTCCAGAATCTGGACTAAGAGATCAGAACCAAATAAAGACATGTTTCTCTCTCGTTTATTTATTTTTTACTAATATTTTAAATAATGTATTCCAATTTGAATTAGGATGAAATGAAACCTATCTGTTTCTTCAACTAAATTATTAAAAAAAAAAGTGCATTTCATTTACAGAAATATTTTATACAATACCAATAAATATCAAAGTTTTCAAGTAATAATCAACCATTAAAACTCGAATGGCCAA